TCAAGTCCAGACCAGACCATTGGAAACTCCGCTTGATTTCTACTAATAAGATGTTTGGCAGCAGAAAAATATAAAAACATCTTGCACTTATTAATTTTCTTCGCCGTGGTGACTTCAAACTTTTAGCGATTTTGCTAGCGTAACAGCCGATTATGCAAATTAGTTCATTGAACAAACTCCGACCGTTTTCTAATATATAGATTTAGCCAAGCCTAAAAGCGGAGCTCGCATAAGTAGCCCAGTAAATCTTAGATTTTGACCATTTTCAGTTGAAAATATAGTAGGACAGAGCTCTTAGACCACACAGATTGATACTTTTAGCAATTTAAAAGGCCAAAATTTGACAAATTTCACTATCTTGTGACGAAAGACGTCAACAACAACGTATCGAATATCATAATTTGATTAGCGCTCAGTCAACCCCCTTTAATAGTAATCTCTTTTTTTAAATAATTGGCTTCTGCTATTTCATATTTGACCTCTGACAGCTTATGCTATTTAACCTGTAGGAACATTCCAGAATCAAACTACAGGATTTTATTGAGTGTAACCGGCGATAACAGCGCACATTAAAATACACCGTGACCAGTGACTCTGTCACGTAATTCAATTGTGTAATCATCTTTAATTACTTCTCCTATTTAGATAAATCAGCGGTAACATCGTCTTTTGGCTCAGAATTCTAGTCGGCAGGAATAAGAGAAAATTTTTTCCGCACACCTGTCTTTATGACAGTTCTATTCAGAAATTTAGAGAGTTCTTAGGGAAAGGGACCCCGCGTTTTTAACGAAAATAAATTATTTCGTAACGTGTCACCTCATTTTTCCAACAATTAGCCATATCTATGTTGTAAAGCGCGTAATCTCATTAGCTGTAATCCAATTACCTCTTTCGGTACTGGTTTGCTCTGATTAATAACACTAAATTCATGAAGTAGTATTCGCAATAAGATGTCCAGCTTTCTGTCGCATTCCTTAGAAAGCTCGTGCGGAGACTCACGATGAGTTTCCGGTTTGTTTAACTTACTTCAGTGTACTGACACAGTAGAAAGTCATCTCTCCTTAATCCATTTGTTAAAAGAGAGTGTCGCGGAAGGAGAGCTTATCCTAGCAAGGGCTGGCCTGTTCGATGTACAAGACTCAGTTATGGCAAAAATGTTGGTCTGCGCAAAGCATAGGCACACCTATGGGAAGTTCTGGCGCCAAAGATCAGCGTGCCAGTATCCGACACACCCTGGTAGCAATTCCAAGGGGGCAAAGGCCATTTCTAAGATGTATGTCGTTCTCGTTCACGTAGGTTCAGGTAGGAACAAGTGATTTAAAATAAGTGGCTGATTTCAACTAATCTCTCCCGTTTTTTCCCCAATCGCTCGTTCGTATATTAATCCACTTTTTCCTACGTCCAGTTATTTGTATCAACTGCCGCAACAAGCACAATGCTCCTGTGCAAAAAAAAAGGCTTGGGTCTCTTTGGAATCTACAGAGAAAGAAGCCAGTGATTCCTGCGTTTATGTGAGGTAAAAGAGTTTGTGCGAATAAATAGCGTTTGATATTGATGCATGCGGTTGTGTACATAAGCTGAGATACATAACCTTTTTCCAATATGAAAATGCTCTACGGACGGTAATTGTTAATAAATAACTTTAGTAATTTATCATAGCTTACTAGAGCCTTGTCTGTATCAAGGATCTCAAGGTAGTTGCCTTTTGGTTACGTTAATTGCAAGACACACTGAAAGATACCTCTGTTTGTATCGATTCAGTTTTTGTAGATATTTTGTAAACTACAAAAGAGATGTTCCTAGTGCTAAAATAGTTAACCTGCGTAGAAGGCTCTCGGCGAAAAGCCTGTAGCAAGCATCTGAGAGAACAGACGCCATGTCTTTCTCTCGCGTGACTTCTCACTTGTGCGTGCTAGGTTTAATCACTCGCGCCCACTTGACTTTGAAAGCATGTTACCTAGTTAAGTGTAAACATTCATCTAAAACTTCATATCTTTTATCGAAGGCCAAGCAAAGATACTGCTCTTGAGAAGTTCAAACTAGCCATGAGCTCACCTATTACCAAGTTCTTCCAGGCTATCCCACAGTATCAATGATGAAATGTGGACTCCTTCAGCCGTGTTGGCGCTTGACGAAAGCGTAGAAATACAGGATTTCAGACCAGCGAGAGGAAGTGTCCAAGATCCAATTCAAGTCTTCAGTGCATGCATTAATAGCCTCGCTGATGCTGTAAAAAAAGCCCAGGATTACACATTTGGAATCCCAAGTAGATTGTTGGGAAAAATGCTCCTTTCCTGAAAAATCTGAATTTTTTCAAAAAGCCGAGGAAGCGTACCAGCTGGTGTGCGATGTCATGCCTCCAAGAGATGGTAAAGCGTTATTCCAAGCGGTCGTAGACCATGAACAGAAGTGCAAGACAGCTATTGATATTGGCCTTCAAACCCTTATATTCGCCTATCAGAACACTCCCACAAAATCACTTAAGACTCAAATAATGAGTATTTATGCTGATAGATTCTCAGCCAACGAGCGTAAACGCATACATCAGCAATTTGAAAACCTCTCTGATAGACAAATAAAGAAGGCAAGAGCACAGGCGAAGAGTGAGGGGCCTGGAGCGCCTATTGAAAAAATCCCGCGTCATAGAATCCATATACAACAGCGTCAGCTAAATCACTTCTAAGAGTTCACTATGAGGCTATATTACTATCAAGACGTAGCCTACGATACTCGCACCATAAAACTTGAGAACGGTGAAGAGTTTGTCATACCTAACGTGGTGCGAACAGTGGCCGAGTGCACCATCATTAATCAATAAATGGATCATCGAAAAGAAACTGGATTTCAACCGATAAGTAAATCTACGATGTGGAGAGTGCTAGAAGTTCAAGGGGCCACACAGAGGAAATCATTGCGGGGTCTACACAATACTGCAGCTGAGGGAGCGTATGGTTTTAAAGGGCATGTAAACCCATAAAACGTTCATTTTCTTTTCACATAGATGTTTAGTAAATATATCAAGTACACCAAAGATACCATTCGTTTTTTCTCAAAAGTCCATTTCACTTCGTAAAATCTCTTCCAAATTCGAAACATTCGCCATCTTTCCTGTGACGTTACGGGTGGAACCTCCAAAGTTTCGTTTCATAATCGTGTGAGACACATAGGAGTCTTCTCCACAGCCGTTGTTTGCCGGTCTTGTCATGATTTTTTTACTTACAGTTTGCTTGAATATATTCAATTTTTTATCATTATGGTGAAGAGCTGTGTCGTCCAGTTTTGTACTGATTAAAACAAAACTGGGCATACAATGCAAAGATTTCCAAATGACGCATATTTGAGGCGGCAATTTGTGAAATTTGTTCAAGTGAAAATAGCCGATTTCGTCGAGCCGTGCGAACATTCTGTTGTTTGTGGTATTCATTTTTCTTCCTGGTGCTGTACCAACGATTCAGGCCCTACCAGAAGAAAATTATTCAGAAGTATAAAAACGACCGATACGACGAGGATTTGGAAGTGGCCAACCGAACTGAGAAAGGAGTTGAGCTCTTCAAAAGTTAGAGGTCAACAGAGAAAGTACAAAATAGATTTACCTGGAGACCTTTCGTTAATTGAACAACAAAAGCTTGATTGGTTCTCTAAAGACATAATTTTTCTCATCTAATGAAAGATTATGGGGAAGCCAGTTGTTCGCAGTCGCGTAGCGTGGTCATTTTTTCAAGTGCGCACAAGTACATATGATCTAGAAACCTGAGTAAACTGAGCGAAAAATACTGCGTTCTTTATTTCTTGTTCAAAATAGTTGTGTGAATACAAGAAAAGAACAAAGCGTCTTGCCCTTATTTTGAGCAAACTTGGCGCAAACACAACATTGTTTTGGCTGTGGATCCTCGAGCATGCGCTCAGCAGCGCTTTTCGTTTTATGGTACAGTTATCATTTACCATTTATTTTGCTGTGCACACTGGTCGAGCACACTCTCAACACCGATTTCTTTTTCCTGTGGATGTGAAATATTTCTAACGATGAAAAGCGATGGTCGGCCATCGTGTTTCGTAGTGGAGTCTCCAACCTTTTCATCGAACTAAAGCTGCGCTCAGCAGCGCATGCCGACACAGGATACGTCAAGAGCGTGTTTACTGATACATAGATTCCTGGGTAGAATGCAGCATTAGCTACATCTAGAGTTTCTACCAACGTCTGTGGGAGAGGATCGGTTGGCTCCCTGATAGACTAGCGGTACCTTCATCTGTTCACTTCGAGTGTGAACTCTTCCTAATCGATGGCCATATCACCACCGTAGTGCACATGGATCGGCTTCAATTTTTCCTCCGTCAAGTGGCCAAGCTTTCCTATAACAGTAATCTGTGATTTATGTGCTAAACCACCGAGTGGTCAAATGAACATGATCCAAAAATTATTGTAGCCAATACAATGTCATTTACCTGGGATAATTAGCTGAGCCTGGAAACCTGGTAGTGGCACCACAAGCTTTTCATTGATCTCTGTAACGAGGTGATCTAGGTGATCGCTCTCAACCATTGGCTTCCTAGTTCAGTTGAAAGTAGCACCCGATTAATAGGGACCTTGAGCAAATCACGACGACGACGGCAACGAAGACGTGACAAAACAAAAGATCTAATGGGCAGAACAATAGCTCAGCACGTGTGTTTTAAAACTTTGTACATTCCTTGGCTGTCCTCTACAAAACAACAACGTGAAATTATCAAAATTTAGAGAAGGCAAGTAATTTCAGTAATTTGGGAATTAACAGGTGTTGAGGTAGATTGCAAAATAATTCTTACTCTTATGAGAGCTAAAATTTTTCCTATGAATGCAAGCCACGTTCAAACAAAACACCAGAAACAGCAATTTACATTCAAGTTCTTTAAAAATCAAATTTGTTAGTCCTGAGTTTTTGCTCTGCAGGAGTCTGGGACGAGGCCTCCCATGATACATTGTAATCAGAAATCAATATGGCGTCTATATTGGAGAATTTTTGAAAGTTGAGCTTCGAAGATGTTTCCATGGAAAAACGTATGCACCATTTTACCAAAAGGTATTCCCTTAAGAGTTATCATCTTAAGACAGAGCTCTTCTGCTCCTCTGGTCTTTCGGAAGCAGGATCTCATCAAATATGGAGTCGGACGAGAAGACATGGTAGGGGTGTTCACGTGCTCTAGTGCATTTCCAAGACCTCGACTTAGATTCTTCTCTGCGAAATCATCGCAAGATAAGAAAGAAAGTTCCTTTTTTCAAGAGTTAGTCGAATCACAAGAGCAGCCGCAAATACAGCTGACAGTTGGTGCTAAAGGTTAGCTCAAAATTTTAATCAACGTCAAAATGTTGTTGCCTTGAAATATAATTCTCTCCATTCCGCACCTCTTTCCCAACCCCCTCGTCTAAAAGGAGCGATCAGGGTAATAATCTTTATTTCAGAAGAAGGATTTCAAAGGAATCCACTAATTCCATTTTTGAGGCTGGATTTTGGCTTTTGGCGGAGTACCTTGGCCTAGAGGCTCTCAATATCATATCGTCATAACAATTCTGTAGTATTGCCTTGGTAGTCAGGATAAAAATAACAGTTATAGAAATCCATACTTCTCTGTTAAATAGTTTAACCATTACTAGGGACAATCCAAGGGTCTCTAAATACAAGAGAAATCTCTCAATCTCCTGTCTAGGTCATAAAATCTCCCAAAGGGAAGTAAATTTGATCATCCTTTCCTGAAAAATAGTTCACTTTTACACCAGTTACTCCAGAAGACTTAGGCAGTCTAAAAAAAAATTTAGGTGAGGATAAGGGGATCAAAATTAAATACCCCCTGATCTCAGATATCAAGAAGTTGGCATCTTTTGAACAGTCAGAAGCTTTTCCAAGTCTATTTTGAAAATTACAATTATGCAACAATAAACATACAATGTAACTGTAGAGAAACAGAAGAAATATTCCTCATAACTGGCTTTTGAGCTGCACCCTCTAGAGGGGAAAAAGGAAGAGGATGCATGTTAAAGAGAAAAGACAAGTAATTGGGGGAAGGGGGTCTGCCTATTTGAACGGAATGTGTACTCTTACTAGTGAAATTTTTTTTTGAAAAATTAGTAAGCTAAAATGTCTCTAATAAGAGACTGCACTCTCTTCTCTCATTCATTCTACATTCCCTTGTGTTCCTGTGTGTGATAGTAAAATTAGATTTACTTTATTTATTATTTATTTAATGTTCTTTCTTCTCTTTTGCTCCAGTTGTACAGGCTGGAAAAGACGTCAGCTACTTTGGTATTATTCTCATTGGATTTGCCATCACAGGTAGCTGTCAGTATAATCTGATTATCACTTTTACTCAGTAGTTTATCCAGACCTAAGGGAAATATAAAGGGTAAAGCTGTTGCTGTGGAATTAATAGTTGAGCATCTAGACTTGAGGATTGTACCTTTTGCTTATGCTTTTCCTATCTTATCAAACTTGCTAGAACTTTTCCCGTTCTAAGTTTGTATTCAGTAGAATACATTAGCTGGTCTTCAAGGTTAAGATGCAAGCTTTATGACTGAATTCTAATCTACAACAATATTCCTCCAAGCAAGTGGTCAAAATACAGGAGGGAGTGAAAGGGGGGGGGGGTGACTTATGAAAAATACCTTCATCCTCAGTTATTGTCCTTTTAACCTTTTAACCCCTAAGAGTGACTGGCATCTAATTTCTCCTTACCATATCACCCCTGAATCAAATATTAAGGTCAGGAGAATGAAGGAACTGATCACGTGTGAAAGAAGCTCTAGATTGTTCGACAAATTCTCCTTTTCAGCACCTTAGGAAATGTTTAGAGAATGTTAAAGAGGATATGCATACTGATGTTAGGGTGGAAAGGGTTAAAAAGTTGGGTTTGTGCTGTGGGAAGCTGAAACACAGTGCATATTCTTTTTTCAGGTATTTTAATTTGGTTCGTGGTGAGTGAGTTGTTTTTTGGCTTCAGTGCAAATAAAGTTTACGCTAAAGCTCTTAAAAAGGTCAAAGCAAGTGCAGAGGTGAGGAATGAAAAACTTGGCTTGAGTGAACTGTACATAACTTAAAAACCACCACTAAGAAGCATAGACCCTTTATCAGCATCTTAAAATATTTGTTACATTTCTCAGTTAGAACAATTGTTATGTCACCATGTTATTCTAAGAGGGTTTAACATTTAGGGCATAACCGCTCACAAAAATACTAGTTATTTTCCTCCATTCAGGAGTTCAGGTAAATTGGTGGTCATTCCTGTCAACCCACTATTAAATCAGGACTCCAGACAACTTAGAACTGTTGGCTAGCTTTTTTAGTTCTGTAGGTTCATGGGTCCTAATTTTCAGATAATTACTGATCTTATGGCCTCTCAATACAGGTAATTGAAGCAATTGGAGAACCAATAATGGGACATGGAGAGACAAGTTCAAGAGGAAGAAGAAGACATGTTAGGTACTTATTGCATTCTGTCAGATACTTTGAGCTCAGAATGATGAAAATGCAAAATTTTGAAATGGGATTTGAATCAGCAGGAGATTCACAAAAATATTTCCAGTGTGGTTTTTCAGGAAGATAGTATTTTCATAAGCAGCAATGTGCATTTGCTGGAGCATCAGGTAACCAGTGACCACTCACTGGTAGCTTTTATCCACCTTGCCCATGTATTGTGTGCATGTTCACGTAAGTAGAAACTGGTCAAGACTAAAACATGGTTCTTTCTTGAACTCTTATACCTCTCTTTCACTCTGATTTTGGGTTTGTTGACTGATTTTCCTTCGTAACAGTAGGAAATACTGTACAGTGGCCTTGGCATTAGCACACTGGATTCTGTTTCAAAACTTCTAAGTTTAAGCCGTGGCTTAAGTTCAAGGGCATGGCACTTTATGGTCCTACTTCCTCTATCCACTCAGGAGTATTACGAGATGTTTGTAAACGGTCTGGAAAACCTTAAAAATTACTTGCAATGGGTAATTTGGGATGGACTCATATTCATCCACCCATCCATGGCTAGTTGCAATACTTCGAGTTTCTGTAAGCTGCAGGCACAGGGGAATACTCTGGCAGTTTTGTGAGTCAGTCAGTTTTACTCTTTTTATACTTTCACATTGAGTTTTTTTATTCTTACAGCTACCAAGAATATTTAGTGGATGGTGAGAACTACATGAGAGTCAAGTTTTATGTGTCGGGACCCAAACGGAAAGGAACTGTTCATGTTGATGTGAAAGAGGTAACTTGAATTTCTAGTTTTGAGAAGCAGGTGGCTGAGTGTTGAAAGCAGAATTGCAGAACTCTTGCTTCTGTTAGGTCATACTCTGTGATTGGTCAAGGAGTCACAGTGTCCTGGCAGGTGCTGTGGCGGACTCCATATCATAGGTCTGGGTTTAAACCCTAGTGTGTTATTTTGTGGTGTTCTTGAGGAATAGTGTTTCCTCTCCCGATACCTCTCTCCATCCAGGGGTGTAAGTGAGTAATAGAAAACTTCCAGGGAAAAGTAATACATTTTCAAGCAATAATAGCAGTTTTAAATGACTGATTCTGACCATCAGAATCAGTGACACGCATCAACTCATCGTCTGCCCCCTTCCCTTGTAACCTGAGCTTGTAAATGCGCTCAACATGTAGTTAGCACTGGCTTGTTCCACTGGGCACTCAGTCAGCGGAGAGATGCGAAAGAGTGGCAAGCGACAAACAGCGGTTACTTCTTCTTTGCGTGATCCTCGACATTTTTCGCGCGCTTGCTTTCTGGCTTATTTCTGCTGACTGAGATCCTGGCACAGTTTAAGTTTGCACGAGAACGGATATAAGTGTTCATTTTCATCTTTTTCGGTTCCAGGGATTACGAGGGGGCTTTGACTATCGCTTCATCTTCGTTGAACTCTCTGGATCACCTGCTGAGACTATCATAGTGTTGGATAATCGATGAGGTGTTCCCTGTAAAAAAAAACCAACATATCCAAGTGTGTGATGACAACCAACAAATTGAGCAACTTATAGTAAATCATCTTAAGCCGGCTGAGTGATACGTGGGCCGTGACGTATGTAATGTTGGTCAACGTCATGGAACTAAACAGGCTTACAATCTTATTAGACGTGCTGGTTTCTTTCATTTATTTTTGTATGACGTCCACGAATAGCAAAATTGGATAAACATGAAAAAATGATAAGCGTTTTCCCCTTTTAAATTAGTTATAAACGCCGAAATAAAAAACAAAGCAAACAAATAAATAAATAAACGAATGAAAGTGTGAGCAAAGTGGGACAGGTAGCAAGCCTAGAACGGCCATGAGATCCACCATCTCCACCAGTTTATTACCAGTCTCCTTTCGTTTCTGGTGAATTGCACTTGTCCTTTCCGTGTTAGTATTTTTCTCAACACCAAGCTGAAGTCCGGCTCTCAGACTAATTATATTTGTATCCAGTCGCTTCGTGCTCACGGTTGTTTCCTGCCCATTGGTCTCGTACCCAAACTCAGTCGATTCGAACCCAAATTTAAGTCGGTTCGTACACAAACCGCTGATCGATTCGTACATTTATTTTTTATACTCGTGTATGTCTAATATTTTTTCTCCAGTTGTCAACATGAAAAACATACTTTATTAGTTTGGGTATGAAACGACCGAGCTGGGTACGAAACGACTTAACTGACTGGAGCACTTGTTTCTGTTCTTGTCGTTGTTATTTTTCACCGATGATTACTTTTTTAGATCAATAGTATAACCAACGCACCGGCGATAAATTTAAAAGGAGTTTATTTCCACGCCATTACCAGTGGTTTCTAAATCAAGTATTACGAACATAGTACATCAAGATCCGAACGACTAATTACAAGATCGGAAGTAACATAGGAAATACAAATAACAAGAAATATGTTCAAAGGCAATACTAATAACACAAGGAACACGGGAAACTCGACGAAAGAGCAATTTACCAGACAATTTTTGAAATACGGCTGAAAAACGTACTTGCGAATACCTTGACGCGAGTTCACACCTCTCTTATCTGCAAGATCCGCGCGAAAATTCAAAGCTAAATAGATGGCCGCGCGGCCTGGGGCTAGGGGGGATTGGTTTCTACAAATAGGATAGTTTATTACTCGCAGATCAGAGTATCTTTTCTACACTTTTCCACGATTTTAATCAAATTCGTCAAAGCGAAATCAGCATGGCGGAATTGACTATTTTGACGAATTCTAGTCGAATTCGTCGAAGCAAAATCAGCTCGGCGGATGTGACGATTTTGACGAATTTTCGCCATTTCCTTTGATGCATGCATTTCTAGACATATCTCCGAGGTGGTGGAACAGCCACAGTTTAGAGCGTAATGAATTATTCTTTTCCTTGGTGAACGAATCCTTTTTAAGCAAGAGGAATACAAGCTTCCCGGTGAGAGAAATCAAACAGGATATTCTTTGTATGCCAAGCTCTACAGTATCGATGCAAACCTTTCGTCGGTTAAGTCCCAGATGAACTGATAATGAAATAAAGTCTAAGGTTGGTGTAAACGACTGAGATGATTAGTTGGTGAAGAGCAACGAAATCATACCCCGAAGGTGCTCTGTAAATATGTACAATTTCATCAATACGAGAACCCTACAACAATGATAAAAATCGCTTGTCCAAATTGCGATAGCTTCAGTTCCCGGCTTAGTTTTAGTCGAATTAAAAGGCAGTTGCGCTTTGTAGGAAAACGGCTGCAAAACTGAACGTTGTCTATAGCATGTTTTCGCTTTTGTTGTCTTGTCTTTCCTTTTTCGCATAAGAGAAAAGAAGAGCATAAGGACGATCGTGCAGCCCATTGGACAGCCTCCGCGCCGAAGAACATTCGCCTCGCATTTTTTCTTTTCCTGACTCCGTTGTTTTTCACTCGCCGGATCAGCTTAAAGTCAAGCAGGCTTTGTTTAACGATTAACAGTGACCGTATATGGCTACTTGGGAACAATGGCAGGAAACAGCCTTAAAATATACGCGGGATTTTTCAAAATTTCCGATTATCATACGAGCGACAGATTTAAACCATCGGCAAAACTGATGATGAGACAAATCCTCCCCGTGGGGGTGATTCTGGTAGATTTTTTAGAATGCAAATAGTTACGGTGGGGTGGATGGTGGGGCGACTGTAGCTTTCGTATCTGAAGTAAAGAGATGTCACCGTTTTTTCCTTTATATTGCTTAAAACTGGCGAAAGACATATTCAATTAGAGGCTCACTGTGCGATACAAAGGTGATGAGAGCATGTGTAACCTGGTATTAACGTCCGAAACCTACCACGCCGTTGAATCATGTAGAAGACTATCGTCATTTGCTCGATTGT